GTGGGGGACACCGACACCAAGTTGTGACATTAGCTTGCTGACCACCTGGGCAGGAAGGCCATCTGGCAAGGACCATCCCCACTGCCAGAACAGTGAGAGGCAATGTTGGAAGCCCTTTGATCCCCAATTCCCCAGGTGGCCCAGGCACAGGAGGCACCCGGGCACCACTAGGCACCACCTGCATGGCTGGCCAAGGAGATGTGGCTCCATGTGGTGGGGCTGTGCCACAGCCTGGCAAGCCAGGACAGGCAGGAAGCCACAAGTGGGAGGAAGGAGACAGGGAAACCAGAACAAGACCTCAAGGTGGGCTTCCTCACTGCACAAGATATCCACTCTGAAGTTCAAAGGGAGCTTGTCCTGACTGAAGGATGAGGTCCAGCTTCTTGCATTGGTACAGGACTGCAAAGCAACCCCAGTGCATCAGCCAGCTAAGACTTTCATGCTGGCTTTTGCCCTCCTCATCTGGAGGTGGTGCAAGGGATAGCACCACTGTTCAGCAGCTGTATGGGTGCCAGCAGCCCAGCAAGCCCAGGCAGCTAGCCAAGGCTTGTGGCACCACAGTCAGCTTTGCTTGGGGAACAGAGAGCCGTGGGTCTGAACCATGACCTGCCAGGGCCAGGTGGCACTGTCAAGGATGGGTCTCTTTGCCTCCCAGCTAGGCACAGAAGAGCACTTTGGCAGCAGCCAGGAAGGACCTGACCAGTCAAAAGATTTTCCAGTCGCCTTGCAAATGACAGCAGTGACATACAGAGGGACCAGGACAAGCCTGAGAGGTGGGCCTGTGAGAACCTCATGAGGTTCAACAAGGCCAAGTGCAAGGTCCTGCAGCTGGGCTGTGGTAATCCCAAGGACAACTACAGGCTGGGTGATGAGTAGATAGACAGCAGCCCTGAGAAGGGCTTGGAAGTATTGGTGGACACAAACCTCACCATGAGCCAGCAAAGCGTGTTTGCAGCCCAGAAAGCCACCCGTACCCTGGGGTATTTGGGAGCAATGAGAGCAGGACAAAGGAGGCAGAGAGCAGCCCCCAGGAACTGTACAAAACTGCTCTGGCACAGATCTCGCCAGCTCCAAACTGGACCCTCAACACTGTTCACTGACATTGATCCCAACAACTGACTGGGTGCCAGCTCACCACATCGCCAGGGATCCTCAAGGCCAGGGCATTTTCAGTTAGGCACCATGCACTTTACAGCCAGATGTACCTGACAGCAAGATGCCCTGCTACTGCCGGGGAAGACCTTCATCCTTCTCCCATGCAAACAGTCCCCTCGGTACAGGAGAGCGCCCTGTATGAGCAGTCACCACCAGACATGACTCCACAGCCCACCCGCAGAGTCAGAAACAAGAAGGGGAGAGTATGTTGACAGTCAGTTATCCATCTGGCTAGGTAAACACAGAGGGAAAAAGTACAACGGCGTCCACCCATATCTGTTGCAGAGATGTGAAACCAATGCTAAAATATTCCATCTCACAAGAATCAGTATTTATTGCCTGCATCTACAATTTGTCTGAGATGGAGACATTTTCACTCACTTCTAACATTAGCAGCAGCTTTCTGCTCCTCAAAGAAAAAATATTTACACCCTAAGTTTTAGTGCCGTAATTAAGGTACTGTCCAAACTGACAACTCAAAGTATGACATTCTGGATATTTCAATAATGCTATTTTTATCCTGGAATAAGAAGAAAAGCTGAAATCAGACATTTTATCTGGGTTCTGTACGATGGAAAAAGTGAAGCTTTAGAAAAAATATGGAAAGCCAGATACCTCAACATTAAACCAGATACCTCAACATTAAACCAGATACCTCAACATTAACATTAATGTATTTAAAATTAATGTATTTAAAATTAATGTAAAATTAAAATATTTCCATCAAAATATTTTAATTACCAAAATTGGAGTATTTTATTTCTTTTTGTTCAAAGAACCTGAAACAGCTTGATGAAATCACTTTAAGACACAACTGCAACTTTCATGTGCCCTTTGAAAGTCAGATGAAGTTTGTACTTCCAACATCATTCCCTTTCCTAGCTGCCTTGTCAATAGATAGTATCTCCTACAAGATATTCAGATGTGTAGATCAACTGATGCACCAGGTAGTTCAGGAAAAAATAAATGCATGAGTTACTTTTTGTAAAGTGTCCTCCAATGACTTTAGACAAAAGGACATAAAAGGACATAGAATTACTATTACTACAATCATGAAACACAGGAAAAATTTGAATATTCTGTTGAAAGTACTGGTTGATCAAAAATATTCAGGTGTGATTTTCTGTCCAAAAAAGGAGTGGAGGACAACAAAATTAATCTTTTGCGACAATGAATTTTTTTCACCATGAAATATTCCCCAGAAATTTGGAGTTTTGCAGGAAAGCTTTTCAAATAGATATTCCTGGCCAGCTAAGAAGTGTTGTGAGCAAGTTGTCTAGTCCTAGAAGGGAAAGGTAAACAGGTTTGAACACAGACCTGAAAATCAGCTTTGGGAATTCACAGAACTGAAAGTTTCTATTAAGTACCCCTCTGGGCTGCCAACCAGCCAGCAATGCCTCAGAACTTTCCTCTGTGGTGCTGCAGAGGCAGCATCATGTTACTTCTGCCTGGTTTATTTTGTGTGAAAACTGCACGTGCCCAGTCTTTGCCAGGAGGATTACACCAGGATCATTAAAATTAAGTTAAAAAAATGCATCAGCTCATCTTTCTGAGGGCTTTTTGCATGTTTAAAGCAGCTGATGGGACTTTGCTTCCCAGCCACAATCACCACTTCCCCTCTCTACCACATTCTGTCAGGACGAGACCAGCCTCACCAGCACAGGTGCCAAAACCTGGGGGGCTGCTCTGGTGCCCTGGGCTGGGCCTTTGGGCATCCCCCATTGCCCCAGAGCCTGGGGACCTCACAGCCCACTCGGGTCTGGGTAACGTGCTCAGGGCCATCATCATTACTGTGGGAGCTCCCCAGGTCTGAATTTCCCCCTGCAGCTGAGGAAGATGAGCAAGCAGCTGTGGAAGGAAGGAGCAGGGAGGCAAAAGAGGAAGGGAGACTGGCCAGAGGAGGTCCCTGGTTCATGGTGCCAGTCAGTGGGTCAGGATTTATAACTGTATTAAATGGCATGACAGTCAGCCATGATAAATCAGTTCCCCTTCTTCCCAAATCACAGACAATAAAAGCTTTGGCAGTGAAAGTCATTCATCATCATAAAGACTTGAGACGTTCCAGCCATCAATTTCACTCACATCCTTAATACACTTGAGAGGAGTGGTGGACTTTTAGGAAAAAAAAAAGATGGGGAGAGAAGAAAGGGAAAAATAATTAAAAGAAAACACAAAGAAAGATTGAACAGGACTAACTACAAGGTCAAAGAAAGGAGTCCCTTCAGGAAAGCCCTTTTGATGATGAGGGGCTGAGCTGCCATGCCCTCCGCCTGCCACGTGATGCTGAACAAAGCAGCGAGGCCTCCTTGCTACCCTGAGGGGTTGCCCAGGGGAAGGAGAGAGCTAGGGAGGATGCTACAAGCTGGGACCTGGCCTGACCGCCCTCCAAGACATGCTGGCAAGGAGAAACTCCTGGAATCCCCCTCACTGTGGCTGGGCTGGGTGCTTGCCCCCTACAGCCAGTTTCAGATGAGTTCACCTCATGCTTGAAGGCACTGATGTGACCACTTCACTGCTGCTTCAGTACCAAAGACATCTTTCATAACATGCCCAAGGAGAACTACAGAGCTACTTTATCCATTTTACAGAGAAGACCACTTATATTTTAAGATGTTACGAGCTTCTCCCATTAAAATCACTGAATCACACCAACCAACCCATGGCAGTTCATACTCAACCCTGTAACACTTGAGCATAAGCTTACTCTTATACAAAGAAAAAGGGCATGTCTGTCTGTGAGGTAGCACTCACACTTCACACACCTCTTCAAGGCCTGATACACCTCCTGCAGTTTTATACATCTTCACTGCAAGAGGCCACAGCACCTGCCTGCATATCCTCTCCTGCACCGTGGTATACAGGCTCAGCAAAGATGAGGTCACTTATATAAAGAAATAATGGTCCATTAAAAAATAAAAAGCCCCAAATATGCCGATAAAATCTCTGTTCAGAGATAACACGAGAGAGCACAGCATTTAACAAGGGAGCTAACTACATGTGAGATATTTAAAGAAGACAGTAGGGAAAGTAAATGAAGATTTTACTTCCTGCTCTGCAACAGATGCTCCTCTTCCCCCAAACTGTGCCGCAGCATCATTAAAACATCTGGATCCATTCTCTCTCCCTCTCACCTGATGTCACTGGCAGTCACTTTTGTCAGCTCCAAACTGGGCAGCAGCAAAGAGACATGCACACGCCTGAAGCTGCCCGCCCTCAGGAAACACCAGCTCTGCAAGGCACAGGTGGCACCTTAGAGCAGAGCTACTTACGGAAGCACCTACACTGTCTGGCACCTGAAGATAGCACTGGTTGCTAGTCCTTGTGCTCATCTAATTTTGAGTACTCCATATTTTGCTGCTTTTCTTCTGTGAGTTTGGGAAGAAAAGAAAAAAAAAAAAAAAAAAAAAAAAGTTCGTTCTGGTTTCTACATGTTAATAGCACAGTATTAGCTGATAGCAAACAGCAAGTGTTCTCCTGCTATGCTATCCATTAATTACTCGCTGGTGCATAAAGCTCTTGAAATGCCTCTGTTTTACCATTAAAGCAAAAATATTCTCTCTTCCTATACTGGTTTCCAGAACTGCCAGTCAGAGAACTCACTATCCCATATGTAACTAAGCAGAATCTCCAAACTGAGCAATGTAACAGCTGAGAAGTAACTCATACACGGCCAGCTAAAGCTACCCATTTTTGATGATGCAACAAGTTTGGAGGCCTCCTCAAGTACCATCATCAAAACAATTACTTTGCCATAGAAATGTTATCTGTAACTTGACTCAGATTGCCATTAGACTTTATTCACGCAACATGCCTACAAATAGAGGAAAAAACAACGCTCTACCCACCTGGAAATACCATTTTGTTGTATTGTACAGGCAGCCTCGGATGTTTTGCTATTGTTGTAGGACAAAAAAAAAAAAAAAAAAAAAAAAAAAAAAGCAGTTTAAAAAGCATTTTTACTATCTGGAGTGTTTTCATTTCTATTTTTATTTCCAATCTGAAGATATCTGAACATTTACAGCAATTCTCTGGCAGCAAAAAAAGCACTGTGCATTGAATAGGCCACTGATGTCCTAAAGCGCTAACACAGCAAGCCACCCTGGCATCTCCGAGCACCTGAAACCTTCACTGCTCCTCCACAGCGGGCTGCAGACAGTGGCAGAACTGTGGGTGAGTGTATCCAGGACTAAAAGACCAATGTGAGATGCTGCTAGTAAAGCCAGGATGATAGTTTCCACCTGCTTGCATGGAGTTGGTTTAATGCCCTGTTGTTGTTTTTCCAGACCATTTCAGACTGGAGCAAAAAAGAGCTGAAGCTGCTCAACATGTTTACAGAACAAGCCCCAGCCACGCTGCAATCAGGAGCCAGCACAGAGGCACCAAAACCCTGCTGTCTTAATCTTTCTGCTATGGCTGTTCCATTTAAAATTGTATTTATTATCTATACCACAGTGGTATTGGGGGCAGGGGGAAACAGATTTAATTAATTAGAGATTGCAAAATCCTTAAGCAAAAGATGCTATGTAAATGCAAATTGTTATTATACATGCTTTGCACCAAAACATGTCTACCACAGTTAAACTCAACATTTAAATCCACAGCAAAATTCCCAGCAGAATCAGGCTGCACATCATCAAAAAAGCCAGTTAATAGCCTAGGTCTTAGTGGGGTACAAGTGGCCTCGTTTGCTTTTTGAGATGCACTTGTTACTTTTTAATGGCAAGATGAGAACTCATAAAAATTGAAAAAAATTAACAGTGCTTCAGTTAGACTCTGACCTGTCATTAAAAATGACACTTTTGTTTTTCAGATTGGCTGCCTTTCCACAAGAGTTTATGTGGCCTTTTTTCAAGTCTTCAACATGACAGGCCCTATCAGGAGTGATGAATAGATTATTGGAAAATGCATCTGCACTTTTATCTACAAAATGTAGAGACTAAGTTGTAAATCTAGCATTATGTTGTGCTAGAAACCAGTGATCTACCAACACCAATTTGTACTTCAAAAACAGTCTCACAGAAATTGAAGTATAATTTGGTGATAATGGTTAAACAACAATCAATATATCCATGTAGAAATTGATTATATGAACAAAATATAATGGCCTCAGAAGAAGACATTTAGCTATTATTACTGTTGCCCAACAACAACAAAAAAATTAACAAAGCAGTTTCCAGCAGAAAAGGCAATTTCCACAAAATCAACCCTTTTCTTTACTTTTGTCACATCTGTCTTGATTTTAGGAATGAAAAGGAAAAAAAAGAAGGAACGAATTGTGAAAATATTACATTGCTGTTAGAGAATTGGGATAGGAAGTTTAAACTTTTAAAATACTTGCCATTTAGAAACTGCAAATCTTTTTTTTTAATTTACAGTCAATATAATTGAAATCCTTTCATTCAGCTGATGAAAACACTGCTTCAAAACTGTTACCAATATTTCAGCAAATGTCAGCTGGGTAAGGATTCCCTCCAAAACCTTATTCCTGAGACCCTTCTTCCTCTCCACAGGGTAGATCCCTCCCACTTCACGTAGCTCTAGTTTAAGCTAAGTGCTTTCCTATATGGTCAACCAAAAGAAGCAGTTACCTTCTGACAATGACCCCTAGCTTTAGATCCAAGAGGTTTGTGGGACAAGTCACCTTCAAGTGCTTTCTCCTCTTCATTTATATCCTGCTACACTGATGACCAGCAACTGACCTCCAAAGGATGAGAATTCTGTGAGATGACTTTGCTGCTATGTCATTCTTAAAGTGCAAGGTGGGAAATTAATTTAAGGGTAAAATACCATTTCCTAGTGAAATCAGGTTCTTCCATTGTGGTCAGCAAGACCTGGGTTTAGACCTAAATTCAGAATGATAAGCAACCCACAACTGTAGAATCACCTATATACAACATTTGTTGTTTCTTTTTCACCCCCACCTCAAATACAGTAAAATATGAACTAAAATAAATGTTCTCTTTTCCCCAAAGGAATCACCAGCTGCAGATTTCACAACGCATTACCCACTTTCGCACTCCACATTAGTGAAATGTTGACCCTGTACCACATTTTTTGCATCTCAAAACTACTAGTTGTCTCCACTGTGAGTGTCAAGTGTGCAAGAATGAGTGAAAAGTCTGATGTCACTATGTATTCCTCAGTCAGGTATGGGAATCTTTCACTTTTGCTTTTGTTTCACATTACAGATTCCACTGGACATGAAAAGTATTTATTTTTCTCAGATTATCATCAAAAATTAGTTATAAAATGCAGATCAAATGAGGGCTTGAGCCAAAAGAGAAACAGCCCTTTCTTGGCTCCTTTAAGCACCAATTCCAGAGACTTCATCAGTGCTGAAGAAAGAGCACCATCTATTAGTCAAACTTCTCTTTATTCTCGCCAAGCTGAAAACAGAAGGCAGTTTGTAAAGAGTCCGCAGTTTGATTTCAGTGTGGGATGAGTATTCAGAACCCAGCCAAGACATGGCAAAAGAAGACTGCATATTTGGGATTCAAGCAGAACTTCAAAGAGTTCAGCCCACATTTCCCACGTTACCTCTCTGCAATGATAAAATACTCTACCTTGATGTACACACCATATAAGACAACACTCTTGCAGCTTCCTACTAAGACAAAACACTTGATTTCTCTGTTGCATGTCTAAAATACCTAATTCAAAAGCCAATACAATTAAATAGGCTGGATTTTAAACTGCTTAGAAACTTCTGTGTTCCCATTTCCCCTTGACACTGTCCCCCCAGCCATTCCCAGAGGGACACAGCCCTTACAGTTTTCATCTGAGAGATTAACTCAGGGTAAGAATTCCAGAGAAAGCCTTTTAAAACTGGTATCCTTGCTGGCTGGGTGGAGAAACAGGGATGCATTACAAGGATTGTTTTTTTTAAAGCAAAAACATCAATAACAAACATCATGTAAAAACAAAACACCCACCATTTCTTCCATGTTTTATGGTATCTAAAGAATGGTCCTATAAATGCATGTAACAGACAGAGAAAAATAAATGAATCAAAACCTCCCTCAGCCATCTACTCCACTTTCCAGCATAGCTCAGTACAAGCAGATACTCAGAAGTTATGCAGGTGTCCCATCTCCAGGGGCACTGGGCACAATCCCATCAAAGAGACAAGGAACACAGCTTGCTACCCAGCAAATACAGAAGCACAATGCCTATCACAGAAATACAGAGTAGCTGAGGTTAGAAATCTGCTCTGGAATTCATGCAGTACAACTCCCCTGCTCAGAGCAGGGTTACCTACAGCAGGTTGTCCATGACCATGTCCAAACAGCATTTGAACATATCCAAGGATGGAGATCCTATAGCCACTCTGAGCAACCTGTGCCAGTGTCTGACCACTCTCCCAGTTGTGCCAGCTGGCACACCATCACTGTTTCTAAGCACAGAATCATTGGATCATTTGGCTTGGAAAAGACCTCTAAGCACATCTGGTCCAACCTTTAACCTAGAACTGCCAAGCCCACCATTAAACTATGTCATCTACACGTCTTGATTGCCTCCAGAGACAGTGACACAGCTGGGCAGCCTATTCCAATACTTCACAACCCTTTCAGTTAAGAATGTTTTTCCAATATCCAACCTAAGCCTCCTCTGGCACAGCTTATGGCCATTTACTCATGTCTAAACTGCATAATTCTGCACAAACTGTTGCATCTGAAGCTGCTCCCACTATTGCTTTCCTGTTAGGTGCACTCTGGTCCTGTCCCCTTACTCAGCAGCAGCTCAAAAAGTGCTTGACTCTCCCTAATCAGGTGTCACCTGGAGACCACAGCTCAGAGCACACTTTGATTATGGTTATCATGATCTAGTGTGTAATAAGACCTCCAAAATTGAGCCACGCAAAAAATAAACATCTGGTCCAAAGTCAGTTCATAAACTCTAGGTTGTGAAGAGAGAAATGTATCTCCAGGCTCCTCCCATACCAAGGCTCGTATCCAGTGTTGTTCAAATGAATCCTGCGTCCTACAGGGTTTTCTTTTTAAATAAACAAAAAGCTTCTTCAGGCTGCATTTTGCTAAATGATAAATATTATCAGTGTTTAACCCTGGCAAGAGATCAGCCTGGGATTTTAAAGCAGCTGTTCTTTTTTTACATAGCTGCTTAACGTATCAGAATCCTCTTTGGTTGCAAATATTGAACAGCTCAGGTGGTGATCCATTTTTGGCATCCTTTTCGGTCTAACTGCTTCATCACCATCTAGCGCCTAGCTTCAGGATTGACAATAACTGCCATTTTACAAAACCTTGTGAAACTGTGGCTCATAAATTGTAGACATAGCATGATGGGATAAACATAGCAGGCAGAAGAATCAGGCAACAGACTTCTGTAAAATGAAAAAACATGCTATCAGGGACCAGCTAAGGGCTGTATATTGCTGCAGAACAGTAGCAGGAAACCGCTTTTGACATGCATTTATCCCATGTTAGCACTCTTGTTTCCCAGTGACAAAAATTCGACAAAATATGTAGTAATATAAAAGGTTAAATGCATCCCTGTTATCTGCATTACCCACAGGCCTGTGCCACCTATGGAGAAATAACTACCAGGCATAATATACCACATCTCAGTTATTGGATGCATCCACGCTAAAGAAAAAGTCAAGCTGATTTTTCCAGGAGTGGCAGAGTCTGTTCCAACAGATATATTTGTCCCACTTGCTCAACATTCAATCCAGCCTAAAGCCTGGAATCAATTATGTTTGGTTGCCTGAGACCCCCAGTGCAAACCAGAGCAGATGATCTAACGTGATTGCCATTCAGAATTTCTCTCCTTCCCCAAGCCTCCAGACGACAAATGGACTCTGCTTCTACTTTTGCTCTGTTTCTTCTCGCCTTTTTGACAGGCACACAAAATGCGCAGGAAAGATGATGCAGTC